CAATCACTGACTTGCTCAACTAGCAGGCAAACGTGGCTGGACTGGAGTGTGAGCCGCACAAGCCGACTATTAAAATTCAAAAGGTATGATATAAGAACTCTAGTAGGAGTACTAACAGGTCACCGTCTAATTGGTATACATGCCAGGCTAGGTGTACCTTACAACGGTAACAAAGTAAACTCTAGTGGCGCCATCTATATGTCGACTAGTGCGTTAGAATCTGCTATCCCTTATCGACTTCCAGTAAAAATTTCATGACATTTCATTTATTTGAAGTAAACTTATTGCATTTTAAGTGTCAGTATGTTTTTTGTCATCGGTGCGAAAATGAGCTTCAAACAAAGAGCCAACATTAAATTTTGTTTTAAAATTGGTAAAACTTTTACCGAAACGTTTCAATTGTTGAAACAAGTTTATGGCAATGATGGCCTATTCTGTAGCAGAGTGAACGAGTGGTTTCAACGTTTTCAAAGTGGTCGTGATTACATAAATGACGATGAACATGTGTTCGAAAAATCGCGCCTGGAGAAGTCAAAAGTGAGGACAATACTGATTTGTTTTTTGCTAATGATTCCAAGGGTATTATCCACAAAGAATTTGTTTCACCCGGCCAAAACGTTAATGCGGTACCTTGGAGTTTTGAAGCGTTTGGTGCGCCGTATTCGACGGGTTCGGCCCGAATACCGCGAAGATGGAAGTTGGCGTTTGTTACACGATAATGCGCCGTTTCATCGATCGACGCAAGTAGCCTAAAATACTCGTTCGACATGCTTTTGGACCGTGCAAAAAGCTGTATTAAAGCAGAAGGAGACTATTTTGAATAAAATTAATAGATTTTGCCGAAAAAACCATTTGTTCTGTCTTATTTTTAAAAGTCCTGTTTACTTTGGAACGCACCTTGTACAAGAAAAGAATCGCAACTTAATATTAATATTAAGAGCTCAAACTTTTAGGGAATTTTTTTTTAGGTATATCCAACAAAATTTCACCATGGTATCGCAAAAAAAAAGTTAAAAAAAGCAGCCTTTTCGAATAGATATGAAAATGCTGCATTTATATGCATATATCACTCTCTCATAGTTTATATGCATGAATTATCTAAAGAAATATATTAAAGTATTTTTTAACTATTTCTTTTTAACATGACACACAAATATTCAATCATATTTTTTTCAGTATTGCTCAACAATACTCCCTGGTTGATCATGTTAACAAAGTTGTAATTCTTTCTCAGTCTTGCAAGTTCTCTGATCAGAGAACTTAGAAGAACGAGAAGGTGTAAATTGAATTTTGTATGATGCTCGACTGGACGGCTAACAGAGCTGAAATATTTGAGCAGGGAATTCACCATTTCCTGTGGTATTCGCTACTATTTAACAGAAATAAGATGTATAACAATGTTTTCTGGCAGAAATACGTATCTACCAACATAAAGACAAGATGAAATACTTTAAACAAAAAATACAAATGCGATTTCACATATGCATGATTATTTTTCGTCAAATAAACTATTTTTTGAAAAAAATTGATGAACAATAATTTTTTTTGCACAAATACGGCATGATAAAATGCGAAAGATTATGCAAAAAAAAATATATTTGTATTTTACTTTTTTAATAATTTACATTTCATTCTCTGGTATGTACACATTGAGAAAGAGAATCTTTGATATTATCACTAATCAATACATGTGCGCTCACTGCTCTATATGTAAATATGTATGTACGAATATGCGTATGACATTGCAAAATAAGTAATGCATACACAAATCTACATACATATGTACATGCGTATAAATGTAAATATGTCAGCCAATAGAAAAAAATACAAACACTATTGTACAAAAACAACAATTCTCTCAAATGGTATGAGCAGCATCAGAAATCAATATGGCAGACAAATCCTGAATTTGTAGTAAACCACACAACAACAACATTTTCATTCATGAACGCTGGCACACATGCAATAAGCTAAGTCGTTTCATTCATAAAAGCAAACGCCTTACACATCTCCCCGAGCATGCGTTTGCCTACAAGCGTCCTTTAGCGACGATGGCAAAGGCTAGAAATCATAAATTGAACAGCTTTCTGATGTTCCCTCTAGAACTGAAAAGTGACAACCCCGCGAACCCACAAAACTATTCTAAAATATTTTTTCGCGGCTCCCAAAATTTTGTTTCAATATGTATGCATGTTCATACATAAACATACATATTTTCAATGATTTGTTGGCGAAGCTGTTAGAGCGGCAAGTGAAGCGATGACAATCGGCGAGCGTTTGTTTATTTTTTCGGCACATCTCGGATTTTTTACCAACAACACAATGTTGTGACGCTTTGCCGTAGCGTCAGTCCTTCGACACATTGGCTCTTTGACATGAAAGCAAAAAACATGAGCATCGGTCATTGGTTGACCATGTCAACGGAGATTTCACATGAAGCAATGAGTGTACATATCTACATAGGTACATATGTTGTTTGTAGACAAATTTACAAATATTTTTCTTTCATATTTCTTAAAATGTACACATGATATGAAAATGCTGAGGGCAAAACATAATTCTTTACATTCATACATTGCATATCCAAGGAATTCCCTGGTTGGCATAAATATCAGTATCATTTCTCTTCAATATTCGCCGGTTGTTTGATTCTCTTGCTTGTGAGGTGAATTCCCCGAAAGAAATTTACAAATGTTCGCTGTCGAACCTGCACCTCCTCGTTCTTCTAAGTTCTCTGCTCTAATTATGTTTTTGTGATATGTATGTAACATATACAATTATATTGAGAAAATATTTGGAGATATATAATATATACGTATATATATTTGCACTAGACAGATATCAATATTATTGCCGGATATTAGTGCAAGTAAATACCTGAATTTATATTTTCTTGGAGGGTTAAGTGTGTTTGCAATACACGAAGGTAAGAATATGTATGATCTAGCCATTCAATTAATATATATAATATTTAATGATATATGCAGTTGCTCATTAGTATTTTGCATAATCCCTTGCAAAAATAAGTTTCACATTTTTAGAAAAATAAGAATCTGAACCTAACTTGTTTTCATATGTGCACTTATTACTCTTTGATTTTATTTAATGGCATAAAAAATAATGTACTGTTTCATAGTATTTAAAAAAATGTTTGAGGTGACGGAAATTTGTACCCACCAAAGTATTTTGTTTTTTCTTTAGTATGTTTTATTCGGCGCGGTATCCGGTTTTTTTACTTTTCGCTGAACCGCTGACCACTGAGAAGCACTTCTATTGAAACCAACTGGAGATGAGTTCATTTCGCTTGTTTCTGCCATAATGTGAATATCTAATATACCTTCACAATGATGGAAAAACAATAAAATATATTTTTTGGGGATGTCACAAACAGACGATAGAAAAAGTAATAAATCAATGTAAAAGACCACGGTAATTTAGAAAATAGCGCTCGCGGTGATCGCGCAAAGTTGACAGAGAGGGAAGAACGCAAAATATTGCAGGAAAATTGCTAAAACCTACATTTATCAGCACCAAAAATTAACGACAAGCTCAAGACGACACAAAACACCCAAGTTTCTGATGACACATTGCAGAGGGTGTTTAGAAGTAAGAATATAGGTATGTGGCCGCCGCAAGAAACCGCTTATTTCAAGTGTAAATAAGTAAAGAGACTTTCATTTACCAACACCTATAAAACAAAGTATTTTGAATTTTGGAAGATAATAATATTCAGTGATGGAAGTAAATACAACATTTTTGGATCTGATGGTTGGCCAAATGAAGACCTACAAATTAAAAAACTTAAACCAATAGTCCGACTTGGTGTAGGGCTGCATGTCAGCTCAGGGGGTCAAAAAACTTGTGTCCATAGATGGCACAATGGACAAACATCTTTATTTAAAATAAGAATAATTTTTTAGTATAAAACATTTTTTAAATATAAAGCATTTGCCAACACCAACCAAAGTCCTAACATGAACCTAATAGAAAACCTGTTGCCCTATCTGGAAAATAAAGTTCGGGAACACCAAATTTCGTTGAAAAGTACGCTTAAAGCGTTTTGCTAGAGGAATGGGAAAATATACCCACGGAATTATGTCGTAAGTTGGAAGAATCTACGCCAAGACGCTTGGAGGTTGTTCACAAGGACAAAGGTTACCGTACAAAGTACTAAATAGTCTGTAAATAAATATACTAGTACCGACAAAGTCAGAAGCAAAATACTTTTGTATGCATGTTTCTGTCACCAATTTTATTTCTCCTTTCCTTCTAGTTGCTTGTGCCTGTAGTGTTTGTATTTTTATGATATTTTTGGTTCGCGACCGAACATTAATTCTTATTTATGTTTTGTATATTGGTTTCACGCTCGATTTTGTGGTTAGGTTAGTTTGTTAAAACCTTTGCATTTTTTTTTGTTGGCACGCAATTTTAGTGTCTATATGTTTATGTGCGTATAACTACGCCTACTTCCCATATAAGAAACGTTTAAATTCCGTCTGAATCTTTCTCTTTACAGTATACAAATTAAACATCAACAAAGTCATCTTGTGTCAAAAAATTTTCGGATTCGGACTATAACTTTTGCCAAAAAACATGTAAAAGCAGCTCAACTCTTCCCTTAGACCCCATATACCTAACATAAATATTTTCGAATCTCCGGTTCACTTTATACCGCAAAAATCGAAATTGAATGACAACTATGCCTACTTCCCATATAACAAACGTTTAAATTCCGTCTGAATCTTTCACTTTACAGCATAGAAATCAAACATCAACAAAGTCATCTTACGTCAAAAAATTGTCGAATTCGATCGATAACTTTTGCCAAAAAACGTGTAAAAGCAACTGAACTCTTCCCTTAGTGGGCATTTACGTAACACAAATATTTTCGAATATCCGGTTCACTTTATGGATTAATTTATATATATAAAGATTTAAAGGGAATAATTCGATTTTACTTTGAATTACATATCGATTATTTACATTTGTTTCGATTTCAGAAAATTCGAGCGATCGTACGAATAGATGAAGATATTAAGCACCTCAGAGAGAAAATGCAACAGGATACCGCTAAAACAGTGGAAATTTTTGCACTATAAATCTCTTCTCAACAAAAAGAAAATATACACAAACTATGCACTATAAGGAATCAGCTGAGTTTGAAATATTCAATATTTATTACTAATTTCCGAATCAATTATTTAAAACACATTCGAATTTCATTTAGAATTAAGAATCTAATAAAAATTAGTTAGCCGATAGAATTTTATGCTTAAAACTTTTCCGTGTTTAGCGTGTGTATTTAAATTTATCTTACACATTCATGATATATCTACATGAATTAATTACATGGTTTGTACAATATATTCTAATTGTAAAAAATAATTCTTATTACATAGGTAATCCTTAGATTTTTTTGACTCTCCAGATTTGATCGCTAATTTTCAGGTTGTTCCGATTTGTTTATTAAAATATACTTAAGATTAGTTAACAATTTATTTTATTTTAATCTAAATTATTATTGTTGGTGTTATATTTCTAATTTACGGAACTGTAAACTCTGTAATTCTATTCAATAGGTTTTAATTGTTATTTTTAATTTAGTATATTATATGTGTATATTAAAATTATAATGGTTAATTTGCAACTCATGTGCTGTTTAGTTGATAAGCAATGATATTTAGAAATCTCTGACAATTACTAAGTAAAGTGATTAAAACGTTGTCAAAATAAGTGTATTAATTATTACATGTGGTAGGTGTGCAATGTTATCATACACAAAGTTCAAAGCGAAGAATTATAATTCACCTTATACCTATTATAGGTACACAAAAATATTACACATTAAAAAGTCAAAAAGTCATTTTCGCATTGTACTTAAACTCCTATGCATTTACACAAATTGTATACCTTCAACAAGTTTTATATTACTAATATTCGAAGATAACGTGTAAGACCCATTGCTTGCCAAATGCAAAATATGCACTTTTCTGTCGAATATTGAATTTTTAATTCATAATATCACGTTTTGTCAACACCTGCAGATATTTCACAACCTTAATTAAGTTGGTCCCGATGTTTATAACGTCCAGAAGGAAGGCAAATACTGTCCTGATATACCTAAATTATCAGTGTGACGAGCTGAGTACGCTGATTCAGCCATGTCCGTCTGTTCGTCCGCCTGTCTGTCTGTATATACATGAACTAGTCCCTCAGTCTTTGAGATATCGATTTGAAACTTTTTACACGCTCTTTTGTCCTCAACAAGTTGCACATTTGTCGGAATCTTCGAAATCGGAAAACTATAGGGTATTGCTGCCATACGAACTGACCGATTAAAATCAGTTCTTATATGGAAACTTCTTTATTTGTGAAGATATCTATACGAAATTTGGCATGGATTATTCACAAAGCCACTAATACGCCATACTGGCTACCGCCCGTGCTCCGCCGCCTCATCGCATTTCTTTGTTATTAGCCCAGCTTCATATGTCATGGGTGAACATACTAACTACTGTATGAATTGATAGCTATCCGGCCGTGGTTTCCCGTTGCCCACCCATCATTTGAGAGGTGGTGTCATGGCCGCTGCTACCTATCATCTAAGTTTGGACTTTCCATGGCTTCGCGCCAAGATAAACGAAAACATATCTCCAGTGTTAATCTGCTACCAATTAATACTGGCATTAACTACACTGGTGTGTTTTCTTATGAACAATACTGCTCAATCTTATTAACTGGTTGATCTGCATGATACATTGGCGATTTATATCGTCTAAAATTGTTTGCAAGTTAGCAGAATGTTCAGGTTGCCTCTGCCCGAAACTACTACAATAATCCAGCAGACCTGACATGCCCTTGCTACAGATCAGCAGCAACATTCATTGTCGGATCGAAGTGGAATAACGCCTCATGAGGTGTACGCCTGGACAGATCCTCGATGACCCCGCGTTGAAATTGTGACCGCCCGTGAGCATTTCATTCGTGTTCGACACCTGTAGACCATCTGGTCAGCGACAGGGCGAAACTGTTGGTACCCAACGGGCGGTCTTCTGAGCCCATGTTAAATAAATGCTTGTTGCGCCTGCAATGTCCGGTGTAGAACGCGACAAGTAGCCGGAATGTATTTCTCGGGAGATTGATTACGATACCGTCTGAGGATATACCCCCCAAACCTGGCATGGCGTATGCCTTGGGGATGTTGCCAATGTCTCTCCCTGCCTGCTCTTTCCTCTTTACGGAGCAGCTCTTCAATGGTATGTGGACCAACCGCTATATACGGTTCTGGTCCTACCATTTTTGTGGAGGCTGCAGAGCGAGCCAATTCGTCAGCCAGTTCATTTCCTGATATACCCCTGTGACCAGGCACCCAGATGAGGTGCACCCTATTGTGGCTTGATAGATTGTTTAGCCGTTCTATGCACTCCTGCACTAGTGGCGATTTGACCTCAAAAGCCGAGATCGCTTTTAGTGCCGCCTGACTATCGCTGAGTATGCAAATACTCTTATTGCGATTGTTGAGTCGAATGTATATCTCCGTCGGTGTACCACTTGATAGTGCTATCCGTTAGGAGGAGGTCCAGCGTGGAATCATTCCATTCCGCCTTACTGGGACGAGATTACCTTCCCTTTGCGAAACCCTTCTGCTGTCATTTGAAACAGGGTCTGTTTGGCCGTCTGTTCGATCACTCTATGTAACGGTGTGAGCTCCAGCATTACTTCCAGTGCTGCGGTCGGACTAGTACGCATCGCGCCCGACGCGTAGATGCAGGCAAGTCGTTGCAGCTTCGATAGTCGAAGTCCCACCGAAGTCTGCGATGCTTTGGAAACCCAAGCCACCGCTCTATATGTTATGATCGGTATCACAATCATGGTGTACAGCCATCTGATAATCCTCGGGTTGCAGCCCCATGCTTACCCAGCAAGCCGTTTGCACACAATAATAATGTCAGGTTCATATATTGCTTCCAACGTAGAGCGGAATCCAGCGTGAGGCCCAGGTACTTGACTGTGTTAGCCATGGTAGTAACCTGCGCCTGGTAAATGGTATGATTTTAGTCTTTGAGGGGAGATGTTTAGACCAACCCCACTACACCATTTCCTTGCCAACCCCAATCTCCTTTGTACAATATCGCAGAGAGTGTCTGCGAACTTACCCCTGGCTAAAATAACAATATCGTCCGCATATCCCTGACAGCGGATTCAATTGCTAGTTAGCAGCTCGAGTAGATCGTCCACAACTAGGCTCCACAGTAGGTGGATAGCACTCCGCCCTGTGGACAACCTCTTGTTGTGCCAAGACGAATCTTGGTATCGCTAACTGTGGTTTCAGCTATCCTTTTGCGCAGTACGGCTTCAACCCATCTGCGCACCGGTGCCGCCACACTTCTTTCCTCCAGTGCTCTTGACACGCTTTCGTGAGACGTATTGTCAAAAGCACCTTCGATGTCAAGGAAGGCGCATATCAGCACTTCACCCCCATCCAACGAACTTCGAATCTCAGAGTTTAGCTGATACAGAGCAGTATTGGTTCATCTGCCCACTCTGAAAGCATGCTGATTCGCGTGTAGCGGTGCAGCCTTCAGCACCTTTAATCTTGTTTCGTGATCAATGATCTTTTCCATACTTTTAAGTAGGAAGGAAGTTAGACTTATTGGTAAGCGCATAACTCAACAACGCCTGGACCAATTTTAACAATTCTTTTTCCTATTTGTTCGTCAAAGTCCAAGGATGGTTTTTACGGTTTTAATTTAAAATTCGAATAATTTCCAGAAAACCCCCTACTAGTCGCCAGCAACAAGGGGCATTCAATGATACTTAGAAGTTCCCGTTTCTTTCCATAACTAACGGATTTCGCAATCCTATGGAGCTGAACCTAAATCGGTCCTCAATATTGCTTCCCCTCCAGAGAAAGTGGAAAAGGGACATAGTGGACAAGGAAGCAGGATAAGCTTCTATACGGATGGTTCAAACTGGAATAACCGAGTAGGCTGCGGTGTTTCTCGGCTAAACTAGATACCAAAATCGCCTTACCGGTTACCAGACCACTGCAGTGTCTTCCAAGCAGAGTTACTGCAATTAAAGAAAGCCTTTTGTACTAACAAAAGTGTAATCAACAACAAGAAGTGACCGAATATTAATTGTTATTTATGTTTGTATTTGGTTTCACGCTCGATTGTGTGGTTAGGGTAGCTTGTTAAAACCTTTGCATTTTTTTTTTTTGTTGGCACGCAATTTTAATGTCCATATGTTTATGTGCGTATAATACGCCTACTTCCCATATAAGAACGTTTAAAATTCCGTCGCGAATCTTTTCTCTTTACAGTATACAAATTAAACATCAACAAAGTCTCTTGTGTCAAAAAATTTTCGGATTCGGACTATAACTTTTTGGCAAAAAACGTGTAAAGCAGCTCAAACTTTTCCCTTAGACCCCATATACCTAACATAAATATTTTCGAATCTCCGTTCACTTTATCCCGCAAAAATCGAAATTGAATGACACAATACCTACTTCCATATAACAAACGTTTAAATTCCGTCTGAATCTTTCACTTTAACAGCATACAAATCAAACATCAACAAAGTCATCTACGTCAAAAATTGTCGAATTCGATCGATAACTTTGCCAAAAAGTGTAAAGCAACTGAACTCTTCCCTTAGTGCGCATTTACGTAACACAAATATTTTCGAATATCCGGTTCACTTTATACTGCATCTATCTGTTAATATGTAAGAAATCTTAAATTCAAAAATAATCCTTTTATAATAGCAGTCTATCTTTTTTCCTTAAATGGATAAAATTACAGCGATTATTTCCTTAGTTTGATATACTTAAAGTTTTGCCAAAACCTGAAGGTGTTCCTCCGCCTTTGTATCTTGCAAGAGTATGAAATGTTCGGTTACACTCGAACTTAGCCCTTCCTTACTTCTTTAATATTATCAAATGTGTGTTTGTTGTTATATGTATATATATATTTGTTTTATTGCCACTGTACTTTTGTTTTTCGGGATTATTAGTTTCTGTCATTATCTCGTAATAAATGCTCTTTGTTGTTATTTATTTGTTGCCGTCATGGAAAAATAGAACTTCGTAATTTCTTTGTAAGATTGATATTGCTTTATATTCCTTGTTATTTAGGTTCTTTAGCAATCATTATCAGTAAATTGCTGGCATACATACTTTTTAAAGTTATATTATTAATATTTACAGTTTTGAGCTACGATTAATTGCCTTGACACTATTATGCACTATTTTTGGAGCTTTTGACATAACTCGCGTGAAGCAGGGAAATAAGGATTAATTTATATATATAAAGATTTAAAGGGAATAATTCGATTTTACTTTGAATTACATATCGATTATTTACATTTGTTTCGATTTCAGAAAATTCGAGCGATCGTA